TAAGTACAAGAAGAAACCAATAGATGTTGTATAAAATGACAGACCAAGAAAAGCAGAAGCAATTATTTAGAAAAATGAAGGCAAGTAGCAAAAGAAACAGCTAAGAGTTAGAGTTTGCTTCCAGGGAGCAGAAACATGGGATGGTGAAGGATAAGGCAGGGGCTGCTGCTTTCCAAATGAAACTTATAGTGAAATATGTAAACCATGTGCATGCATTACTTTGATAAAAAGTACAATGGATTTTAAATAATAGAAAAGTGTAAATGTTTATGCAAGAATGCTCATGAGAAAATATTAAAACAATTTTATATCAATTTTAAAATGCCATATACATACATCCAGGCAAAGGCTCATAAGTAACAAAGTAAAAATCTCTACTCCCAGGCTGAACCTCAATGAATCAGTGAAAACATGGAAGGCAGATGAGGCTTGGAAGGAAGGCAGGGCCAGCCCACAAACAAATTTGCACACCATGCCAAGGGATTTGAATTTGCACTTGTAGACAAGAAGTCACTGGAGGTTTGCCATTCCCAAGCCAATAACAACCAAATCGTATGTATGTATGGAGATAATTGGCACTGTGTGAAGAAGTACTGGGTGTGGGGGTGGGAGGAACAGTTGGCCTCATCCTGCAGAGATACTGCGGGCCTGAAAGGCAGTGGCAGCACACAGCAGAAGCTGCAGGTGTGCGAGGAAAGAGAAACAAGACTTGGCAACAAATAAAATTAATAAAATCTGATTTCTACACAGCGTTGAAGGTAGGTACCTCTCATTCCTTGTTACAAGCCCCATAGACCATAAAGTATGTAACTGCTTTCCTCTTTGAGCAGGGAAAACAGGTTTGACTACAGAGGGATGGGGGTGAGGGGCACCAGTGAAAGGAACTGATCAATCATCTTGTCCCCTTCCTAGGAAGGGATGATTCCAGATGAAGAGGGAGCCTCAAATTCTCAAATCAGCTGCTCTGACTCAGCTCCATTACTCCTAGAAAACCAATTAAAAGTGAGGAGCCAGGGAGCAAGATCCAAGCTTCTAGGTTTCTGATTTGGAAGACTGATGGCACTATCTGAGAAAGAGCCCATGCAAAGAGAGGCAGATTTCAGAGAGACTTTAGATAAATTCAATCTGAGGTATATCTACGAAATATTCAGGAAATATACCCAATAGGCAATTGAAAATACAGATTTGGAGCTCATGAGTGAGTTCTTAAAATATAAGTCTGAGAGTCAGAAGGGTATAGATTCTTTCTTTAACATATCTCTGCACCATTTATATTCCAGAATGACCCCCTCAAATATTCCCTAACATAAATGCAAAGTAGCACTAAAAATACTTGTTTATAAAGTTGCACCAACTTCTCTGATATCAAGAACTAAAAAAATACACAGGCACATTTTTCTTCCATAAATTTCAGTAAACAAATCTTCCTACCACAATGTATTTTTAAGCTCTAAGTAAAAAGAACATGCATCAAACAGAAAAATTTAATAATCCCTGTGTCTATCTTTAAGAAATGGTTGCATGTTTAGACACAGCTCTATCTGTTTCCATCACTTTGTCTGGCACTAACTTTCTACATGACATCCTACCAATGATCCATCTGGGTTACTACATATCCTGTTAAGAGTCAACCTGCTGAAACCACAGACAGTATGTAAACCTTCCTACTGAGTCAGAAAAGAAAAAAAAAAGAAAGACGTCAGTAAGAAGGAGCAGAACAGAGCAGAAAATCACCTGGTCCAACCCGCTCATTTTACAGATGAGAAAACTGAAACTCAGAGACATTTCTTGAACTGAAGTTCATTCCTAGAAAGACGTCAGTAAGAAGGAGCAGAACAGAGCAGAAAATCACCTGGTCCAACCGGCTCATTTTACAGATGAGAAAACTGAAACTCAGAGACATTTCTTGAACTGAAGTTCATTCC